ATTTTTTAAGCATTAGCGAAAATGTTTCGAAAACATTAGCAACATTGAAAGACGATCTTAGGTACGGCAACTAGCCATGGATTTGAAAATCTGACATGGATTTGGAAATCCGCCACGGATCTGAGGCCTGCCATGGATCAGAGTCCAACAAATATGCCAAATGGGAGTACTTGAAACCAGTATATCTTATCCATTTACTGCAAAGCAAAGACAAATAGGGACACTGGTCCTGAATGTCTGAGCTGAATAACCAGTCTCCCATCCTGAGAGTGGTTCTTAGCTTCCTGACCCATTCTGTTTGGAAGATGGGCATGTGTACATGTCAATGTAGTCTTTGTTGAGGACATTCACGATTGTTACCACAGGCATGTCTGACATATTATTTTTAAGCTCAAGGAAGACAGGAATAAAACAATGTTTCAGCCTATAAGTGCACCAATACTTCACAGCTACCAACCTGGACTGTCTTCTGGTTTGATGCTTGTAGAAATGCAAATTGTATCCGTGTTCACAACTATGATAATCCATCTTCCACTGACTCCATGTCCTCCCATAGTCCCAAAGTTGGCATTAGGTTGTTGAGATCTAAATGCAAAGCCAGGTCTAAAGGGTTTGGCAGAACTGCTTTCATAGATATGCCTGCCCTTTACGGCATTGTTAATTTATACAGCCAACTCTGTAATCAGTCCTGAAAGGGTGTGATAATCTCTCCTTTCATGGGCGGTGGGGTAGCCTTGAAGTTAAGGCATTGGCTTGTCACGTCGAAGATTCGGGTTCAGTGTGTGAAGCCCTGGTGTCCCCTTGAATATTGCTAAAAGCGACGTAAAACCATACTCACTCACTCTCTCCTTTCATGAACAGGATAGAAAAGATTCCTGTCCTGATGGTGAAATGTTTCTTCCACCTTATATAATTTCTGGTTGAAAAAGACCAATGGTTTAGATCTGGTGGCATCTTCAGACTGTTCTCGAAGGAACTGCAAACGAAGGTGACTTCATGCCATTTCTTGTCAATGGCCACATCTCCTGGTATGATTTTGTAGTCCTCCTGAACACGTGGTAAGACAAGGTGCAATACAAGCCAGCTGTCCCAATCAGTTCTGTATATTTAAACTGGGTCACAGGTACAGACATTTGAGCTTTGGTGATTAGTGACCTGGCTTGTAATAATCATCATCAATGCAGCAGAATATGAAAGGGATCATGGTTCCACAATATAGAGTCACTCCTTCCTTTGGTGCAGGTTCTTCATCATCCCTGGGTCAGGTGTTAGGGCAGCAGATGATATATACACATGGAACTTAATTAAGCACCCCCTAACATATTTTAAGTTACTGACTTACCTAATGATAAATCTTGAATTGTAACGATGACTATTATTGGAACTGTATTCCCTTTCAATATGCTTGAAGGGTTTTGCTAAATCAATCGTAAAAACACATCCCAATATGCCGTTGAAGCACGCTACTCACAATTGTCTCAAAAAGCACAATCTACTCTGTATAAAACGCCAAAACTTTTTAATGATCTTACCAGTATATGTTACAATGGCACGAAGGAGACTACCAGAAGCAGGAAGATGGAAAATAATTTGACTGCACAACACCGGGATGTCATGCAGGGCTATTCGGCGACAGCTTGACATTCACCACACCATCATAACTCGACTTGTTCAAAAACACTGTCAAACCAACAAGGTTAGGGACTGACCAAGGCCAGGTGAACTCCGAAAGACGTCTCAAGTTGAGGATCGGGATTTAGCAAGCCTTGTGAGACGTCACAAATGGTGTCCTGAAGCACCTGTGGCTACCCAATAGACATCTGTGCAATAGGACTGTAAGAAACCGCATAAAGGCACATGGGATGAGGGCAAGGGTGATGAAGCATCCAGCGTTGACCAATCTTCACAAGAGAGCTCATTTGGAGTGGTGTTCATTGGAATTTGACGTAATGGAGGCAGGTGCATTGCTCGGATGAGAATAACGTTTTATTGCATGTCACAGACGGGTGCCAGCAAGTCTGGAGGACCAAGAACAGAGCCTTTGAGCCTAAGAACATCAGAGCATCAGTTCCTTACAGTGGTGGATCTGTCATGGTCTGGTGTTGTCTCTCCCATGATTGTAAACTGGAATTGGTAACTGTTGGTGAAAAACTCAATGGCGACCACGACATCCGGGACATTTTGGATCCTGTTCTTGTGCCACATTTTGATAACCATCCATTAGCCACTCACCCTGTTTTTATGGATGACAATGTCCGACCACATCATCCCCAACTTGTGACAGTTTTTCTCCAACAATGCGGTAACCAAATTTCCATGGCCTGCTATGAGCCAGGATTTGAAGCCTGTCTGTGGCATTCTTGGAGTGCAAGATCTGGCATGTTTGGAGGCAGTTTTGCACTGGGAGTGGCAGCAGCTGCCTCTGGACAGAATCTGGAGACTCACGACAAGCAGTCATCTATGCACAAGATGGATATGAATGCTATTAACATTTTTCAAGTGATCTGTTGTCCGAAGATGACAGAGAACATTTTCATACTGAGAGACACTCACCTCTCCCATTTTGAAACTCTGCAGCCCCATAGTTGTACAGGGATACATTTTGTTGACAAAACATCGTTTCAGGAAACAATGGCGTTTAAGCTTTCCAGTATACATACTATACATGGCAATATGAAAAAAAATCAGGGGGTGCTTAATCAAGTTCCATGTGTAAATAAATTAGTGAAGGTATACTCTGGCTGATAATTGTCAACTACCCTGTGCTGGCTGATGGATGTATATAAAGCCTGGGCCCCGTTTCACGAAGCTCTCGTAAGCCTAAGTTCTCGTAACTTTTCTCGTAGCGACACAAGGAAAGTTACGAGATCTTAGGCTTACGAGAGCTTTGTGAAAAGTGGCCCTGGTCACTATGTCAGGTCCTTGTCTCTGCCAGTTCACTGCAGTCACATCAGGTACATCCTACCAGCAGTCTTACAGTGAACATGTACCAAGCCAAAATAAAAACTTGACACCTGTTAGATTGAATCCCACAATTGAAGTAGTATGTGCATTATTATGAAAATATTTGTGTATCATACTGCTATCATTCAGGTAACAATACAGGTGATGAAAAGTTGATGCAACACTGATAAAACTGTTGGACCAGAAGAAATAATAAATATGCCACCATAGCAGGTCGCATCTCCCCATGGACAGGAGAACCAGTCTGAACACTATTACCAGAAGTCGTTGCCATTGGTCAATGAGTGCTTGTTTAAGTTCTTCCTTGCCCATCACAAATGTTTTCCATTGGGTTAAAGTCTCAGAAACAGGAAGACGGGTCCCTGACATCAACACCACAGTAAAGTAATAAGTTGTGTCAGAGCTGCAGCATGGGCATGGCATGCTTGTTTTTTTATATTGTTCAGTATATGTGGAAAACATATCATACATGCTCACTCCCTGTCATCAGTTGTGCTTAATTGAAGCTGATACGAGCTCATCCTTGAGAAGTTGTAAATTTTTGCTGGTTGAAGTATCATTATGTTGTAATGATCAAGTTACTTGGGTAACAGCTGCCAGAAGTAAGCACTTATCTTCAGGACCAACATAGAACATCTCAGCACCTCTTTGCACATAGAGCTGGAGGACAGGAACTTGCAGATCTCAGAGCAGGTGACAGATGCCACTGAAGGGGGAGCGTCCAAGCTCCAACAAATGTTCAACTAAATTATACCCAAATGATTATTCATCCTTATCAACCAGGTAAGGACAACAGTAGTTATATGTTTAACTTTAGAAGACATTATGAACTACAGTGTGATAACACTACTCGAAAAATATGGGCTAGACTCTGAAAATATTTCAGTGTTGATGCACAAACAATAGGGGATGGAGAGACAGTTTGCCTGACAAAAACTTACAGAATCACTGACAGTTAAAAGGACGTCTGTTGAACATGAGATTTTTCTCTATGATGTCAGGAGGTAGGGTATTCAAAGGAATTTTGCTGATTAATTAGATAATAATTCTATCAGATATGAACAGATACAGATTGACTAAAGAGTGACAAAAGCAATATCATACATACGTACATATAGTCAAGATGTTTGTGCAGGTCAAAACTACGTCTTGTACACAAGATCTTTTGCCGCACAACAACTGTTCAAGTTCAATGAAAACAAGTGTTTCCCACTAATATGGCAATGTCCCCCGCCGCTAAAGAAGAATGAAATATTTATAATATATTTAATACTTTATATTTTTGGTCACATACAAGATGCCTGAAAAGATTGGTGTCTGCATAATCACCCAATGTAGGCTGTCATCAAATTGGGTACAACAGTGCATGAGATATCAGGTTGACAAGTGTTCAAAGTGTCGTGGTGACCTTGAAGATAAGGTCAACGAACGGACGCTGCTGAATACAGTTCCGCGTTGCGGCGGGGGACAACTAAGCGTAGTCATAGGTGATGACAATGATAGTGCTTGTGTCATCAAAATGGTAACTGCATAACAAATAGTGACAATAGAGGGAGACGTAATAGTCATAGGAAACAGCAAACATGACGTTGAGATGTCATAATGTCTTTGATGTAACAATAGTTGCAGACATAGGTTTCAGTGCACAAACATACACTGAGCTACAAAGCAAAGTTTGAAAATTACACTTTTGAAGTTAGGCCAGACCAATTTTATTTCTTGTTTTACAGATCCGCCGGTCGTATTTTTTCAAGAATCTGAAAAAAAATAAAATAAAATAATTTGCCCCATATAAATAAACTTCATCATTGCTTTTAGTATTTAAAAGGAATATTACTTTGACTGGTGAATTATATTTTATATTTTTTCCCTCCTGCCTTTAGGTTTTCTGAGGACAAAAATCTGTAAAACAAGAAATAAAATTGGTCTGGCCTAAGCTATTGTTTCAAAAGCTGAATGAACATCTGTTAATTTTCCATCTGCAAATCGTAAAATATTAAACAATATATATACATAAGTTATATATATAATATCTATTATTTATAATGTATTTTATTTCAGCACAAATATTTTGACTCCATTTTCATTTATATGTAATGCTTATCCCCCTGAAGCAAATGAAGCAATACATATATACACACACACACACATAGTTGGGCCTTTTATAAAGTACACACACTTCTTTGTCGATTCTAATGTGTACAGATGATACTGGTTCCAATGCATGGAATTCTGGTTCTTCATGATGTGCACAGCTGCAATTCGCTTATCCCTGGAAAACCTACCATCCTCCCTGAAACAAGATTAACATTATTATTCATGGTAAAAAAAGAGTGGCCCATGATCTTTTAGTTCTTATTAGGAGCAAATGAACTGATTTGAAAGTACATTCAAGTATTGTCATAGGTACTTTTAAATTACTGTAAATCTTGAAATTAATGCAAGAGTAAATTAAATGCAAAAATGTGAATGGTCTTTGCCTGCATTGGCAATTATGTGAATACACAATGCCTTTTAGGAAATGGACAAATGTAACATATGTAAAATTTGGGATGATACTTTCTAATTAAAGTACAGATTCTAGTACTTTTATTTGTGGAAGCCGCAGTGGCTGAGGGGTAAGATCGCTGACTATGTATGTTGGTGAATAAGTGTATCACTCTGAGAGTCTTGGTTTAAATTCCAGACTGAACTCAACTCAGATAAAAAAGTAATAGAGTCTGCACTATACTGAGAAAGTGTAATCCCAAAATTTAACATATGTTGCATTGACAATTATGGAGAAAAATGATGGCATCATGTTGGAAACCAGAAATATCATCTTAAAAATTTAAGCAAACACCTCACTACTCCACATCACAGTTTATTGAACAGCAGTTTTAACAAATATATACCACTAACAATATTTCATTAAAATGCTAGAAATTGCATAATGGACATCTGGTAAGTCTTTGCAGTGGCCAAGAGTTCTATTCACATGTGTCACACTAAGCATCACAGAGGACTCTCATAGAAGATATGACCACCCATGCAACAGTTTCTATGTTCTGGATGACAACCCAAGTTGCGATGGATGCCCGCCAAGCTGCCTACTTAGATTACAACGGTTACAATTAACTGTCATTGGCTCCAAGAAGAGAATGATCACTCTGAGGTAATCACGTGGGTGCATGCTGCATGCTCAGCAAGGGACTAAGGACCTGGGTCCCATTGTACAAAACAACCTTTACTAAGGTTTTCATCTTAGCTGATAGCATTGAATGTTTTGTAAATGCACGCTTGTCTATGTATCATTTATATTATGACACTACATTCACAATCTCCCCCTGGGCATTCCATTTGTATTTCTACTGAAAAGATTTAATTTTGATTTTTTTTTTATACACGGCAGGTTTGCTGAGACATACCTCTTGGAAAATAAGAGTGATACATAAATTAAATATAATGTTCATTGGATATATGAAATATATCATATTATTGTCACTCTGTTGCAGGATAAATGCTTGCTCTTCAGTGGAAAGAACAGGGGCACAACTATGAAAAAATGGAATGATTATAAGTGTGTGTGTGTGTGTGCGTGTGTGAGCACGTGTGTGTGCACGCGTGCATGCGCATGTCATTGTGGGTTGTGGTCAATAAAGTTCTGTTGTTTTGATTATTTAAGCAAAATTGACAAACAATTGTTTGAAATCATAACAATAAGCTTTTTATTTACAATATGAATTGGATATGTCCGGAAATAACTAATTTTCACATGATTAATTTATAGATCTCAGGTGAAAAAAAAAAAGCCATGGATGTCAGAAAAGAATCATCCAAAACCGGAGGTGGTCCAGCTCCTATTCCTCTGACTGATCTGGAATTTAAAGTAATCATTAAATTTTAATTTCCTTTTGACAATGTTAATTCAGGGATACCAGGATATAAAAGTTTATAATAAAAGTGTTCTCTCATAACAACCACCCTCCCCCTCCCTGCTGGGTTACAACATTATATCCACATCTGTTGATTTATTTCTTCCAAGTACACACATATTGAAATATAAATATATCTGTTTGTAGGTTGTATCACTGATTCCACAGTGCCAAATTGAAGGGATAACTGGAGGATTGGAGTCGGAGGTTGATGAAAGTGAGTGTTTTTTTCTCAATCAATGTTCCAAATCTTTTAAACAATCTTTAAGCTGTTTGAATATTTTCAAATCATTTCCTCTGTTGCATTGTGTTTATTTTCAATAATTAATACTGATAGTTATATGAATATTAGCTTGGTCTGACATTAACATAGATGCTAAGGTAATAAAAAAACATAAATCTTTCAGTTTTTGAAACACCGAACATGGTCAGTGAGAGTGGCTTTCCCACAGAGTACTTTGATTCGACCTTCACCAGCGATGAGAGGAAAAGCAGCGAAACACCTGGTATGCTTGATTAATATTTTTAAAAGCATGTTTAAAAGTTAAATTTGTCATCAATCAGTTAGTCACAGCTTAACAATCTCATATATATGTACTAACAATGTGTATTGACAGAACTGTAATTCCTTTAATTCCTATATCAATGTATAGAACCAGCAATGGTAACAAATTGATAAATAACCAATTGGAGTGTTGTTTAAATTCAAGATTAATATATGATACTGTATCTGTAGGATATTAATGTGATGTTACATTAGTCATTTAATATTTATATTAGGCATTTAAAATTGATTTAAAACAGATGTATTTTCTTGCCTGTTACAGATAAGGACCTAAAGTGGAACAGGTGCACAAGGTGGTATCACAATGTGGAAGTGCTGTCCACACGAAATGTGGAGTTGCCCCAAAAGCAACTCCATTTCCTCACTGGACAGTGTAAGAAGAACATGTGGCGCAAGAGTAATGGTAAGTTTTCCCTCGCATTTTCATTATTTTTCAACTATACCAGGTATTGCCATTTGGCAGACGGGTCTAGAAATGTACAGATCTTTCTATAATAGCTTGACACCCTCTCTATTTATTGCAATTGTGAGTTAAGTGAGGGCACCCTCCTAAGTGTCGATACAAGATTGCAGAAAATGATCATTTCAACACGAAATATGACAACCTCATCAGCAGACACGCTTTTTTTTTTTGCTGTCAATTCTTAGATGTAGTTATTTTAGGTCTTCATTCACAGTTTAGGCTTTAATGCGTCAGTATTTTTTTCAGGTATCGTCTAAAACTCAAAGTGTACTTTTTACATGGAGTTGTATTGCAACTGTCCATATCGTTGAATGTGTACGTTGAAGTAACTGTCCATGTAGTTGCATGGACTTTAGAGTATGAACTGTCGAAATTCCACACTTGTTGATACCCTTTTCCACAGACTTGGTAATGGAAACGGTAGTTGTTGTGATGTATCCCCTAAATTCTATGTTCACACTATCACGATTCGCGCCACGATTGAAATCATGGTGATCATATCAATCTTATCAGATCTTGAGGTCAGTCATGTCAATCGTGTTGATCGTAGAAAGATTTTGGACGGTTAAAAAAAAAATTCTATGATCAACACTGTTAATTGTCAATCGTGATCATTGCATCAGATAGTATTGCATCATAACAAAGCGAACATATCGCATCTAATCATGCTTAGAAATCGTGTGTTGAGATGTGTAGTGATCTCCCACGATCTGTGATGCTCTGTCAGGTCCCATTGCTAACAACCTGACCCGAATGACTCGCGAGTAGATACGAGTATTGACGCTTTTTCACGGATGCTCACGATCTGTTACGAGTTCTTGCGCCCGTATATGTACTGGAAATCAGAATTACTGCGCCTTCAGGAGTTCCCTCTGATCCTTCACATTTGCTCTGGTTGATTTGCGAGGTGCAGGAGGTTGATCCACATCTAGCCAGTCCACTTGGTCCTCCATGCACCTGGGATGACATGGTGGTTTTCATCCTCATGGTCCGCCTATTGAGCTGCAATGCCTGGATGCTTCAGACTCAATAGGTTGTGCAGAGTCACTGCCCCCTCCATGATGAGGAGACACCTGAATCTATTGGCCAGGATCCCAAGGGCATTTTCCACCATTCTCCACCCTCTTGAGAGTACTCTCAAGACACTCCACACCTGAAGGCATACGCAAGAGACCCATAGTTGTCTCTAGCCTCAAGGTGCCTAAGTGTGACGGCCAGTTTCAGTCCAGGTGAAATAGGTTGCCTGAAACTGGTGACTTCCCTATCGATTGCTATGCAAGACATCATCAAAGAGCTGTGGTGTTAACCTTGTGTAGTTTTGGAATGCTACTGGATCCTCCAGCCTCAAATGGGTGTCTAGGAGGCTGGAGAACTGACCAAACTGTTATGCCCTCTCCTCCATGAGCCATGACCGCACCCTGGGGTGCCTGACTGCTCCCTTTGAGGTTGGAGTTGTAGCTGGTCTGACTGCTGCTCGTCTTGTGTCATTTGGATTTCTGCTTTAACAATGGCCATTGACTTGTCCATATCGCTGGTGCCACCGATGGGAACAAAGAAAGTCATTATTGTATTGGATTTCGCACATTCAACATATGTTAGATGTCCCTTGGCTTTCAGATGCTTAGTGATGTGCTTTACATGAATGTGCAATACTAATATCTGAGTGACAGTAGGAACAATGTACATACTTTGGAATAATCTGGGCCCCATTTCACAAAGCTCTTGAGCGCTACAACTATCGTAAGTCATTGTTACAGTAAACAGGGCGCAGGACTTGGTTATTCCTGGGGTAGATGTATATTTGTTAATACACTTCTGATCGTACATGATATTTTTTTACATTAAATCCCTGTCAGGGTACAAACTGCAATGTGGGTGTACAATCGTACTTGATGGTACAAAATCATAATATATACACCAAAATACGCCAGGTAGGCATGTCTACAACAAAACATTCTTCTTCACAACAAATATCTCTAGAATAACGTTTGATGACATGACGGTTAAAACTACAAACTGTCAACTCCCTGGACAGTAAAATTACAACGCAATGGACAGTTTGTTTGCTAAACGTGAGCAACTCCATATAAAATGTACAGTTTGATTTTTCGACAATAACTGAAAAAATACTGACGCATTAAAGCCTAAACTGTGAATGAAGACCTAAAATAACTATATCTAAGAATTGACAGCAAGAAAAAGGCGTGTCTGCTGATGAGGTTGTCATATTTCGTGTTGAAACGATCATTTTCCGCGATCTTGTTTCGACACTCAGGAGGGTGCCCTCACTTAACTCACAATTGCAACAAATAGAGAGGGTGTCAATCTATTAGGGCTGTAATGAATACACT